TATATATATATATATATATATATATATATATATATATATATATATATATATTCTCCACCTCACTTCCTCACTTCGTTAATTTCACATACACTTGGTGCAGTCCGTCAAAATGTGTAAGTTTTTTTCATTTTTCATTTCAACTTTTGGAGGTAAAGTCTGATGATCAAGAGCCCTGTAAAAGGGTTGTGGTGAAATAACTTATTACATGGAACTTTAAAGTGATCTGTTTTTATTCAAACAAATATATATATATATATTATGAAATGGATTAAGTCCGGCAATTATTTAATATATTTTCTGTTTATAAGTTATAGATACAATTTATTTAAGTAAATTTTCTGTTTTTTTAAATAAACAGTATTAATTACATTTACCGGTTTGAATGTTCGAGAAATTTCGTAGGAAATATGTGCTTCTCCGACAGGAATCGAACCTGTAACCCTAATGGGAACTATTATTTGATCTGATTTGCTGTTAACCACTTAGCTCTCGAGAAGCTTCTGCTTAGCAAAGTCCGAATGACTGTTTATCAACAACAAATCTTCGACGATCTTTCCCGAACGATCATATCTACTCCCGAAACGTAACTTAACGTAAACATTGACGTAAACGTTTGTTGTCTACAAAACAGTAATTTAAACTTTGCTAATCAAACTCTTATTATAATTATTTTCTTATTAGTTTTTTTTTTTTATTTTATTTACTTATTTTTTTAGTTTGAATATTTTTATTTATTCTGTTTGGTTTTCGATTTTGAGTGTTGACTTCAATGTTCACTTTTATATTTATATTTACATACGCTCTATCTCTCATATTGAGTACTTTTCCCCATAAATATAACACGCCTTAAAAATATATTTCTTCATATATATATATATATATGAAGAAATATATTTTTAAAATATATATAATGAAATGGAATAAGTCCAACAAATGTTCGATATATCTTCTGTTTCTTTGTTATTTTAATATATACAATTTATTTAAATGAATGCTCTCTATTTTAAATAAACAATATTAATTACATTTACCGATCTTAATAATAGATAAATTTCTTTAAAAATATGCGTTTCTTCGACAGGAATCGAAACCTCAATGGGAGCCATAATTTCTTCAGAAGGATCTGGCTAGAAGAGTCTGAATTACTGTTTATCAACAACAAATCTTCGACGATCTTTCCCGAAATAACATATCTGCACATGCAACGTACCTTAACGTAAATATTGACAGCATTTTAGGAAATGAATTACGTACGACAATTATTTAATATATTTTCTGTTTATACGTTATTTTTATAGATAAACAGGAAATATATTAAATAATTAATACTGTTTAATTAAAAAAGGGTATTTTTTTAAAATAAATTGTATCTATTAAAAAACGTATGAACAAAAGTATAGCATGTATATATATAATATATACACACACGCACATACATATATATATGTATATATATATGAAGAGAGAGAGAGAATGAGAGAGAGAGGATAGATACATACATACATACAGGCGTCCGAAGAGACCGAAATGAACAGATATATATGAAGATACTAGGAGAGATAGACAGATAGATATGAACAAACTAAGAAACTAAGATATTTATAAACACACACACACACACACATATATATATATATATATATATATATATATGAAGAAATATAGTTTTAATATATAGATAGATAGATATAATATTTCTTTGTTATTTTAATATATACAATTTATTTAAATGAATGCTCTCTATTTTAAATAAACAGTATTAATTACATTTACCCATCTTAATGATAGAGAAATTTCTTTAAAAATATGCGTTTCTTCGACAGGAATCGAAACCTCAATGGGACCCATAATTTCTTCTGAAGGGCCTGGCTAGCAGAGTTCGAATTACTGTTTATCAACAACAAATCTTCGACGATCTTTCCCGAACGATCATATCAACTCCCGAAACGTAACTTAACGTAAACATTGACGTAAACGTTCGTTGTCTATAAACAGTAATTCGGACTTTGCTAATCAGACTCATATATAATTTTTTTTTTTTGATAAATACAAAGAAATTTCTAAAGACATAGGAATATAGGTCTAGATCATGATTTTTGTTAAATCTTGTTAAATATAGTGAAATTCACAAAGACTAGGAATCATGATTTTCTGAATACAATGAAATGTTCAAGGACATAGGTATAGAGATCTAGATCAGGATTTTCGATTTTCAAACTCCCCCCTACTTCTTTTGAACAGGAATAGGGGGTTTGCTTCTTGTTTCCTGTTTAGAATTTGGTTTCCGGTTCTTTCGGACGTCTACTTTTAATCTCCACCTAAAACTTATATTTACTATTAGTTTACTTTTTTTCTCATCTCGATAGCAGGAGATACGTTCGCCTACCACCCGGTTCACCCTCCTCCCCATTCCTTTGAACAGGAGTAGAGGTTCATCTGTTGTTTCTTCTTTAGGATTGAGTTTTCCTGTTCTTTCTAAAGCCTTCTCTTCTCTTTATCTCCTGGTGTCCCCTTGCGTCTTGGTGGCATTATCTCGTTCCTTCGAGTGATAACCCTCTACCTCGAATGGCTCTTGGGCCTTGTACTACGCAAAAATCTATCTATCTAACACAGTCTATTTATATCTATCTATCTGAGTCTGTGTATATCTATCATTGTTCATATCTATTTATCTATCTATCTATCGCAGTCAGTCCATTATCTATCTATCTATCTGTCATTGTCTGTTTATTATCTATCTATCTATCTATCATTGTCTGTTCATTATCTATCATTGTTCATTATCTATATATCTATCTATCATTGTCTGTGTTGTGAATTCCGTGAATGGAATCCTACACAATTGAGATAGAAAAATAAGTGCATTAAACGTAAGAATACAGACTTGAAGTGAAGATTAGTAGTCCAGGAATGCGGGTTAGTAGAAAGTATATGTACAAGTCTTTGTAAGTAAAGCCGTAATCTCTCTCTCTCTCTCTCTCTCTCTCTCTCTCTCTCTCTCTCTCTCTCTCTCTCTGAGAGAACACCCTGTGTCTGCCTCCGTATCTCCACGTATCTCAATCTATCTCCACCTATCTCAACGGATCTCCACGGATCTCAACAACAGGTATTCTCTCTGTCAGTATAAGTATACTTTGCACGAGTCCATATTATGTAACAAGGGGAGAGCCCCACAACAGTCTGTTCATTATCTATCTATCATTGTCTGTTCATTGTCTATCTATCTATCGTTGATTGCAATATCTGACGAAGGTCATTTGCTAGCAATTTGCGTTGTTGGACGAAACTGCTCAAGCAGAGCGTATAGCACATAGCGCTTGTCCGCTTGCTGGTAAGATTTCGAACGAAGGTCAAAGCAAGGATAATCAGATGGTGGAAGTATATGCAAAATGTCAATGCTGACAATATTTTATGAACAGAATTGAAGACTTCCAAATAATAGCTCTAAATAGTAGCTTCATATATAGATTAAATTCTCTATCGGATGATTGAAGTATTATTCCACGTTTATAAATGATGTGATATGAAGAAACAACATATAGTTATCTATAAACAGACTGACAAAGATAGATAGATAGATAGATAGATAGATAGATAGATAGATAGATAGATAGATAGATAGATAGATATGTACAGACTGCGAGATAGATAGATAGATAGATAGATAGATAGATAGATAGATAGATAGATAGATAGATAGATATGTACAGACTGCGAGATAGATAGATAGATAGAAAGAGACTGCGAGATAGATAGATAGATAGATAGATAGATAGATAGATAGATAGATAGATAGATAGATAGATATGTACAGACTGCGAGATAGATAGAAACAGACTGTGAGATAGATAGATAGATAGATAGATAGATAGATAGATAGATAGATAGATAGATATGTACAGACTGCGAGATAGATAGATAGATAGATAGAAAGAGACTGCGAGATAGATAGATAGATAGATAGATAGATAGATAGATAGATAGATATGTACAGACTGCGAGATAGATAGATAGAAACAGACTGCGAGATAGATAGATAGATAGATAGATAGATAGATAGATAGATAGATAGATAGATAGATATGTACAGACTGCGAGATAGATAGATAGAAACAGACTGCGAGATAGATAGATAGATAGATAGATAGATAGATAGATAGATAGATAGATAGATAGATAGATATGTACAGACTGCGAGATAGATAGATAGAAAGAGACTGCGAGATAGATAGATAGATAGATATGTACAGACTGCGAGATAGATAGATAGATAGAAACAGACTGCGAGATAGATAGATAGATAGATAGATAGATAGATAGATAGATAGATAGATAGATAGATAGATAGATATGAACAAACAACGACAGATAGATAGATAGATAGATAGATAGATAGATAGATAGATAGATAGATAGAAGCCAACAAACAACAGGAAGCGTTGTAATTATCGATTTGCATCCGTAAACATATAAAGGTTTACAACTTTCAAGAACGCTGACCCTTTTAGGGGGCAAATACTAAGTCGTTTCCCCTACGTCTCTCCTCCAATCTATCGCTTTTTCGTACATAGACCAAAACGTTCCTCTTGTACTTCTGATTCAGTACGATTTATTTCTTGCCCGTCCCAATGTGTTTCCTCCTCAAGAGGCAATCGATTGTATTAAAAGGGAGGAAAAAAATCAATTGGCGGAGATCGTCTATCGTTAATGTTAAATGGTTTTAAAATTCGAAAAGCATTTCGGGTGGTCAACATCGCTGTCTTGAACGCGAAAGAGGTTTCAGTCAACGTGGCTACGAGCAGAATGATAAGTGAAGCCATTAATCCATTTCCATATCTCGGATTAACAGAGAGGAAAAGACGAAAAAAACAAAAATCACTCGAAGTCACATTTATCCGAACATGTCAAAGGCGAGAAAGATTTCTAGCGAGAATAAAAACAAATGTGGCTATTCAATAATCCGCCTGTGCCATCTTTTATACAATAGATTCTCGGCAGAGATGACCCTGTTAAAGTTGGTTACTCCTCAAAGACGATCCTTGCGCCCAATGAGGAATTGACACTGTGGTTATAATAAGTTAGGTCCAAGTTGGGCATTTGCGTGTGTAACGAAGTTCGGGCGTCGATTAAATGTTAAATTTAATGAAACTTTATTAACTCCAGATTTCCGTTAGTTACTCACGGCCCGGGTAATACCCTCAACCGACCATCACACACATATCCACCCGGTCGTGACGTAAGGTGGGGGAGCTGTCCTAAATAATTACTGGGGCAATTGTCTATACATCCATCTCTCTAACGCTTACAAACCCACGAGTGTTCACCTATCAAGGTAATACCTGACAAGGGCTAAATCAGGGATCTCCAGCTGGGGTCATCTTAGATCAAAATCCGTACCTGGCTTCCTTTAATAGTCTGGTGTAAAATTGAATCACGAATCTACAGATCTGCTACAAATATTCATTTTTTTTTCGACATTATCTATCTCATTCTACTCTTTCTTATCTATCTATCTATCTATCTATCTATCTATCTATCTATCTATCTATCTCCTTCTGTTCATATCTATCTCAGTCTCTTTCTTTCTTTCTTTTTTTATCTATCTATCCATATATCTATCTCCTTCTGTTCATATCTATCTCAGTCTCTTTCTTTCTTTCTTTCTTTCTTTTTTTATCTATCTATCTATCTATCTATCTATCTATCTATCTCCTTCTGTTCATATCTATCTAATTCTCTTTCTTTCTTTCTTTCTTTTTTTATCTATCTATCTATCTATCTATCTATCTATCTATCTATCTATCTATCTCCTTCTGTTCATATCTATCTCAGTCTCTTTCTTTCTTTCTTTCTTTCTTTTTTTATCTATCTATCTATCTATCTATCTATCTATCTATCTATCTATCTATCTCCTTCTGTTCATATCTATCTAATTCTCTTTCTTTCTTTCTTTTTTTATCTATCTATCTATCTATCTATCTATCTATCTATCTCCTTCTGTTCATATCTATCTCAGTCTCTTTCTTTCTTTCTTTCTTTTTTATCTATCTATCTATCTATCTATCTATCTATCTATCTATCTATCTATCTATCTATCTATCTATCATTTTATAATTGATATCACCCCAAGCAAGGCAGTAAAGCCACTAAGAAGCAAAGGGGTTACAGGGTGTGGAAGAATTAGGAACAGAAACATTAATAATGAGCGGGAATAGAAAAGAATAATCAGGCGGACAGTAGATAGCGATTGACATTGCATTTAAATTTTTACAGATTAAAGTTGGCTAAAAAAGCATGGAGCCAGAAAGGTGTTCCACAAGCGAGAAGTACGAAAAAAGAAACTACTTAAATTCATAGCATAGCAATTTTCTATGTTAACATAACAGAATATCATCTTTGATAGTGAATATCTTTGTTTAAATATCTATATAATCTATATATGAGCTGAAAACTTAAATCAAGGACCAGCTTAATAAAAAAATATCCAAATGTTGGACAATTTGTGTCTTTGTTTTAACCCGAAATTAAAGCAAACATATGAAGTTTAGAACGGCTTATGATCAGACATTGTCTGTTATATTTAACAATATATATATATATATATATATATATATATATATATATAATTATTTTAAAAAAAACATTATGACATAAATATGTTATAAAATCACTACAAAAATAGCCATTTTGTTTCAACACCCCCGGTGTCTTATCAAGTGATGATGTTGAATGTAAAATAAATGGTTTTAAAAGTTTCAAATTAATAAGCTTTCCATCTCATTTTTCTGATAAGGTTTTCCGTTTGCTGAGTTAAATGGACGAAATAATCTCTTTTATTCGTGGTGGGAATGTTAGTAATTGTTAGTTATTGGAATTCATTCCGTATTCATATATATATATATATATATATATATATATATATATATATATATTGATGCATGTTTCATTAAATAATATAGACAAGTTTTGCCTATTTATTTTATGTAAATTCTTTTCATTTCGTCTGATAAGCTTAATAACATTATCATTAAAAGACGAAATAAAATCACAATATTGATACATATTTTTTAATTCTATCTAAGCTTTCGGCTTACATAAGCCATTATCAAAGATGACAATTACATTACAATATATTAACCAATGAACGGACAAAACAATCATGATAGTCTGTTTTTGTTTGCATGGAAGATTTCCAAGCAACGACAAACTCGTGCATACGAGAATCTGGAAGCGAAAATCGCAACGCAGCTCACACATTACCACGCGAGAGTGAAAACGAGAAATATTAAGTATGGGATGCCGTTGGTATAAACCAGTGGCTTCTGTTATCAATTATAGGCATTTAAGAATGTTTGTGAAGATTTCATAGTTTATTTTGTTCAGGTTCGGTTTCAACTGTTTTAAATATAGCTTCAAGAATTTTTAACTTTTGTTTATTGCTTTCATGTTTAAGTATAGTTGTGTTTTCAAAGAGGATTTTCCGGAATTGTGTATGCGGCCAGGCATGTTGTTTTAAATGCCTAAAAATGTTAGAGTTATTCAAATGTAGAGTCAATATGGCGATGTAGAGTCAATATGGCGACTTTCTTAGATAGATGCTGATTTTCTTTCGTCTTTTAATGATAATGTTATTAAGCTTATCAAACGATATGAAAATAATTTGCATAAAATAGACAAAACTTGTCTATATTATTTAATGAATCATGTAATGAAAAAATGCTGCCTAAATACACACACAATATATATATATATATATATATATATATATATATATATAATAGCTGGCCACTCGTATTCGAGGATAGCCGTCTTCTCACTCAGGCACATTGATGTGCTTGTTCAAAAGAGCTCACCTTTGGTTTATACTGCAACTATGCTGGGCAAACCTTAATTACAGTTGCTGGGCGGGGGAGCGTTTTATCTATCGGGATCAAGAATTTGAACATGATCATAAGGGTCAAGCCCACGATGAGTTTAGTCTACCCACTTTTACTCACAAGGCATGGCTAAACCCGTGCTATGGTCTTTAGGGACGTTCCAACGGTGCCACACGCTGGGATCGACCTCAGTCCCGAGCAGACATCAGTCTCCTTCCTGACAAATCGACCATGGTGAGATTAGAACCCGAGTCTTATGGTCAGAAACGTTCTAACCACTTGGCCACGTGACCGAAACGTATATGTATATACACATATATGCATACATATATATATATATATATATATATATATATATATATATATATATATATATATATATATATATATACATACACACACACATATATATGCATATATATCCATAATATGCATATATATATATATGTGTGTGTGTGTATATATATATATATATATATATATATATATATATATATATATATATATAATTATTTATATATTATATACGCGGTACTTATTAGAAAGCGTTCAATATCAGAGATAGAGCTAACATATTTGGTTGGATAGATGTGAGTTTGTAACCCTGGGTTTCACGCTTTTGCGATCGTCAGACAAACTGATTAATTTTTATAAAATATGGGTTTATGTAGATTGCGTGTATTGGTGTTATTATGGAAGTGGGGAAATCGTCGTCGTGATGTCATCGTGCTAACGCAAACATGGATGCATGTCCGTACACCCGATGAGGTACGCAGACACACATATACACTCGTTCGTCCGCCGGGGCTCATACAGACATAAACATATGTGGACAGTATGGGATTTGACATGTATACATTCACGAGACATTCACGAGAACTTTTCGCTACACTTCCAATCTTTGAATTTCAACATACAAATGCGTATGTATAGGCACAACACCACCCATATACATACATATGTCAAATCCCATATTGTCCACATATGACGATCGCAAAAGCGTGAAACCCAGGGTCCCAAACACACATCAATTCAACCAAATATATATACATATATATATATATGTCTATTTTATTTAATGAAACATGCCTGAATGAAGATATGCTATCTAAATATATATATATATATATATATATATATATATATATATATATATATATATATATATATTGATATCTTATATTTATATTCACATATATAGGAAGTACATTCTTAGTACTGAAAGATGAAAGTTTTTAGTGTGACAGAGTGAGTCTCAGAATCGAATGGTGTTAAGAAACAGAAAATTTAAGAGCTGAAACCCAAAAAGACAGTTACCTGATATTTTTTTTTTATCAAAGCGGACCCTCCTTCCAAACAGTAACATCTCTTTTCCCTTCCTCAGCACCTGCCACTTACGCCATCATCTCTCCTCCGCGCATGTATGGCAAAATCAAATTAAATTTCCGTCTATCGGTAAACTATGGAAGATGCTAAGTGATGTAATTAAATCTCTAATAAAAGAAAATGAGTAAACGATTTATAATCTAATTTCTGTTCATAATATTTTTGTTTGAGATTAATTTATGTATTATAAATACATACATATATATATATATATATATATATATATATATATATATATATAATGTAATGTCTCTGTGTCTGTCTATCTGTGTGATACCTTTCCATTCGAGATCCATCCGACCGATTTTGAGCAAACTTCGCACATACATTGTACAATGTAAGAGATGGCTTCTTAGCGTTAAAAAAATCGATAATTTTTACAAAATCAATAATCAATAAAGCCGATCAGATATCGAGAAATTCAACTTCAACTTATTGTCATATTCACAACGTTTCGGCCGTTGTACGCTCCGGCCTTCTTCAGGTGATTGGAATTTCGAACTGAACCCTTTATTTCGTCCACCGTTGTAGATTGTTCTAGTTCCACGTGTCATGCCTCTTCCGGGTGTCTCGTGGAGGACATCAGTGTATGATTCATACAGTGATAAGTCAAAACGTTATTAATATGGGAATAAAGATGAGGACAACACTCCGAACAATGTAAATAATTACAATATCTCATCTCAGAAATATAGATATATGTTGAAGAAGGCCTGAGCGTAAAACGGTTGAAACGTTGTGAATATGACAATCAAGGTAAGGAGAACAGCCCGAACAATGCAAACAATATAAATTTTTACTTTTGTTTATACTTGTTGCAAAATAACATCCTTACAGACTGTTTCATGCTAGACGCAGTCATCAGGCGGCTTGACGATTGCGTCCATCATGAAACAGCCTGTCACTTCTGAGTGTTGACTTCAATGTTCATTTTTATATTTATATTTACATACGCTCTATCTCTGATATTGAGCACTTTTTCCTATAAATATAGCACACCTTAAAACTATATTTCTTCATAATATATATATATATATATATATATATGTATATATATATATATATATATATATATAGTTGCACATTTCTAAAGAGTTAATGTTAATGAAACGCGTTGTCTAAAATACATATTCCTGTTGTCTTTAGTCACATTTTCGTTTTACAGATATATTTTTAGTTATATCTATGTACCGCCACTTTTTCGATAAATTTTCGATACCTAAAGTTAAAATTGAACTTTTTAAATGAAAATTTCATTTTAACTTTAATTGAAAGCTAAATGAATGAATTTATTATTTCCAGTAAGTTAAATATTCTGCTGTATTTCAGATAGAAGTTATATAGATTGGAATGTCAAATATTTGCTCAATTTTTAAATTTTTTTTTTAAAGCGACTATTTTCTTAATTTTAAGAAATTTGTAGACAAAACAAAATTTTCGCTTTTAAAAACCTCCCTAAAGTAAAATATCTATTTGTGACACGTTATTTGAGTAAAATTAGCAAATTTAAAGTTAAATTAATCTTCTTTGAATTAAATATTACTTACTTATAGCATAAAAACAATTAGTATACAACAATTTGTTAATGATTGGTCCTGTCTATTTGAAGCAATAATTGATGGACGATTGAATGATGAAGCGATGACAGCTAGTATGGATGGCCAGAATTAAAATAATTTTACGAAATCAAAGTGAAGGCATTTTTTTTTCGTTTTTAACTACCTAGTAATTTTTACAAATTAACATATTTTCAACAACTATCTAATATTTTGACCTTTAGTTACGTTTGAAGATGCTTTATGAAAAGATTAAAAAATTTGAAGTACTATAAAATTTTCTTAAATTAATTTTAAAA